ATGCTCATGTGTAGGGATGCAATGATTCTCTGGTCTCAGGAAAAGGACACCATGGGTGACCAGTGATTCATAGTGTCCTGCATTCAGTAAGGTACATGTGATTTTTTAGTGTTGTATTGAAAAACTGTCTTTATGTTGTATCTGAAATACCAATTAGGGTGTTTGTATTCAGTAGATTGAAAAAATCTAATGCTTAGTGATGGTATTTGCAGTATCAGGTTTCTTTTTCTGCATATTCAATGCATTTTATTGTCAGTTACTTTTAGGTGGATCAAGTCATTTTAATTTTGCAACTCAAATACCACTTTTGTGTCACTCCTTCCAGTCTCAATATTGTCCCCTGTAGAACATGAGCCTCACTTACCCAGTTGTTTCCAGTTTGGAGAGTTGTATTCACCTGTTTCTCCTGAGCAGCTCTATCAGGAGAGCAGTGCCATCCTGGTTAGAAATGTGAACACTTCTGTGGGTGTTTTGTGTTTTGTTTCCCTGGAATTTTTTTCTTATTGTACTGATGTGGTCCAATCTGGTCATAAAGCTTGACACATATTCCCAGACAAGAGGATAAAATGGAAATTTTATATAGGTAGAACCTGATCTTAGTGATTAGCCATTAGGGTTAGGATTAGACATAACAAATATCTGTAATACATCTTTTATTGTCATCTAGTAACACAGCTTCAGGTTTATAATTTCAAATGAGTGGTGTGATTCAGCATCAAAAGATTTAAACTTTTGTAAGTTTCACCTTTTTAAAGGGAGAGTAGTTTCTAAAGTGTCTAGGATTTATTAGAGTACTGACTACATGCATAGTCATGTGAGCATACAGAGAGTGTTCAAAAAGGTGAATAGAGCGTGAAAATCACTAGATAGAACACTAGGGGCTTACACTCAAGTAGAATGGGGAAGGGGACAATGCATAGGAAAAATGGACAACTCACATTGTGTATTTTGTGATGGCTTATTCCATTTAAAATAAGATTGGGGAATATTTAATTTTTCAAGATATAAATTATTCCTTTAATCCCATGAGTATAATATTGTACTTTTAATTATGATAAACTTCAGAACACTAGAAAGATTGTACCCCATATACAGATAACTTTGTGAATTTTTTCTTTCTGAGGAAGTTATTGGTTGCTATTGAGTCTTTTTGATAAAATATTCCCTTTTCTCTTGGGAAGATTAAAGATAAATAGAAAATAATTGCTACCTATGAAGAATGTCTGTGAAGGGAATTCATGGCAAAACATAGATTAGTGTTTTGTGATGATCACTTGGGTCTGTCTGATAATGAGTCTGCAACTCCCAGTCCATTTTTAAAGCTCTGCATTTCTTTGTGGATAACTGGCTTATAGTACACAGCAAATGACTCACTTCCTATGGGCTTGACAACAACCAGTATGACCTAGGTGGTATAATTAGGGAAAAATAAGACTCTTATTTTTCTGTGCAGGAGCACAGATGTTTGTCATTGCTTTAGGATATAGGCCTCAGGTTTGGTCATGCTCTCAAAATCAAATCTTTAACCTTGCAATGCAGATTCTTCAGCAGAGAGAGAGAGAGCCTGAGAGACAGGGGGTGCCACATCTGGACACTTCTTTCCTAATAACCCAGATGTCTTCAAACTCAAAAAATGTGACAGTAGAATTGTAATCATCATAAGTGTGAAGCTGAGTACTTTACTTTGGAAAAATTAGAAAGCCACAGTAGATTAACTTTCAACCCTTGAGAAAGAAAGGAATACTATGGAAAATTTACCAAGCTAAGTCCTTCCTTCCTCACAGTGAAGGGATTGAAGGTGGGGCTCCATGCAGCTCTTTCTGCACTCCTGCTAGGATTAGTTTTCATAAATCTGGATTCCCTTGAGATGTAGGGTAAAGTCAGAGGACATTGTTTTTTAAAATGTGGCATATAAAATTTGTGATTTGTTCTCTCACTCTGAGTAATCTTAAATTGTTTCTGCTTTTCATTTATAATCTCATTCCAATATTGTGTAAGAGTCTGCTTTGCGTGACTTCACTTCACGTCTATGTAATATTCTTTATTGCTGCTCTGAACCTGGGCCACAAGTATGAATATTTCATAGCTTATAGTGAGGAAAGTGTGCTATGTGTTTCTGAGAAAAAATGTTCAGTAGAATATATCTAATGTGTTCCTTTGAATAAATACCTTGTTGATTTTGTGTGTCAATTCATAGACTGCTCTGCCTCCTTGAATGGTCTTTCACTGATGGATTTTTTATGAATTCTGAAATACATACTTATAAATGAATGATTTTCCCTTCCAATCCTGTTTATGTATTTCATTGCTCTGTGTAGTGGGATATGTGTTAAGGAATGATATTGATTTTTAAAGAACTGATGATTGTACATGTAGAATAGAGTTGAGCTTATTTCGCTTCAATAGGTTTTGTTAAATCAGTGGCACCCAGGTATGTCCCCTTACATAGCTTTCTATTTAATCTATCCTCATAAGTGTCCACATAATAACTACTGCTATCCAGGTGGTGAGATTATATCCCCATTACTCAGGTTTCTAGCTATTAATTAGCTCTGACACCACTTCTCTTATTCCCTTTTAGTCTGAACTGTTCCCCTGATAACATCACCTGCTCTCACAAGAGGCTGACCTGTTTTCCTTTTGGTGCACTTAGTATTTCAAGACTGTTAGCTGTGGATTTGTTCCACTGATAATTTGCAATTGTAGCTTGCTTATCACTATCTAATATGGAAACTGTTTCATCATTATATGTCTGAAAAAGATAAACAGATAGAAATCAATAAGTACCTACCTATATTGCAATTTATTGTTTTAATCATTTAAAGAAAATCTTATTCTCAAAATTTTTTTGTTTAGATTTAATGATAACAATGAAATTGACCCACATGTATTCAGAAAGTGTCACCACTGGGTCTTAGGCAAAGAGTGAAAATAACCAGTTGATAAATTTCCTTCAGCTCAGAAGGTATTATTTCATGATTGATGACAACCCTCCTTTGGAGATTTTCCACTGTTTACAATGTCTGCTTTTTCATGGAGACTGTTCTTTTAGCTTTTTCCTTTTAACTTTTCAAAAACTACAATAGAATTTGCATAGAGAAATATTTTATGAGGTTGTGTGGCATTTCTCTATTAATAATTTCATATCATTGTTCACAATGGCTGATATATAAATTAAGGCCAAAGTACTTTCTCATTTAGTCTTTTGATCACAGTTTATGATTCTTTAATTTCACTTGAAGAGAATCATGGGTAATCCCAGGAATCATAGCACAAAGTATTTTCTACACATTGAGTAAATTCCTTGTCTGTGGATTTTACATAAACTCCACAGTAAGGGAGGTCGTGGAATTTAGGAGCTGAGTGTTGATTTAATGAATCTAAGTATTTTATTGTTCCTCATTTCAATATTGTTTGGTGATTTTCACAAATGTGATTTAGATTTTCTTTTCTATACAGTATTTCTCCTGAGTTAAATAAATTTTGTTTATTTTTATATTTGTGCTCATTGATCTTAACTCTTATATAAAGTCTTTGCATTGTGTTCCCAATAAATATTTTCTTGTTTAATTCTTATCTTCATAGATTTCAACTTTTTCTAATTTTCATGGCTACATGATTTTCCTCTGAGGAAAATTTTTCATTAACTGAGAGTTTTTTAAATGGCATAGTCATTCGTGTTTCTCTTTCCCAGTTCAATAGTTCACTAGTGCACCTAGGCCAGAGAATTGTACAGTCCAAAATTTTAAGAACATACCTATCTCTCTGAATCTATTTCAAACATATTTTGCTTTCTTTCTGAGAAGCATAACATCAGCTGAACCAAGAAACTATATTCTACTTTCATGTGGATGCATTGAAGGTTGTCTTCCTTAGCTGAGATCCATTTATCATTCTTTATCATTAATCAAATAATATAAATGTTGAAATTTGATTTTTTTCATGTTTATTATGCAAAATGTTTCCTTGCTCACAGTACTGAATGTTTGTAGGCTTTTTCCCCATAACTTTCATCTATAATTGTTGAAGTAGTCAAAGGTGTGTTTCTTTTGTTTCTTTTTGGTATTGGAAATTCAACTTAGGACCTTGTAAATGTCAGCCTGGAGCTTTTACAACAGAGATACATCCTTGTTACAAACGTGTGATTTGTAAATGACTGTGAATGAATTTTAATTTTCATTTGGTGAGGCAGTTTGGTGAATGGCTTCACTTTATATTCTGAGATGTCCTTATTGCATAGCCCATGCTGGACACTGTATGCATGGCAGTCCTGAAATTCCTGGTTATCCTCTTACCTCTCCAGTGCTGGGAAAACAGGGCTTGTGCTACCCCACTGATCTGAACTCTTCCTTTCGTGTATAGTAAGCAGTTACTTTGCTGTGCCTTGATTTTCATTGCATTTCAAGCATTTTATGTATATTAGTTTCCATATTATTTTCCTTTACATCCTAGTAGAATTACTAGTAAGTAAGTAGAAGCAGATAATTTGCTATCTCTGACCTGTAGGTTTACTGCTTAACTTTCCCTTATTTTCTGTCTATAATATGTGAAATACACCTTTATTTTTATAAAATTTTAAAACTCATGAAACCTCCTTTCATATTCAACTAAATATTTATCTGTGAAACCAGTTTCGAGATTCAAAATGCTGCCTCAAAACAAAGATGAACTCAGTGTTATGAATAACTAGGTGACTTGTGAATGCTGAATGGCAGGCTTCCTCTTTGAGCTCTACTTTAAGGGCAGTGAAAAACTACATTATGGGTGACCCTGCAGGATAAGCCTTGCTACAGTTCCATTATTCTTCAGCAGTGTGTGATAGTCTAACATCAGTGTTACTGAGTGACTATATTTGAATGTACTTTGAGTTTTGAAAAACATGACCTGCAGTCAATACTTGAAAATATTGAAGAATGAACTTCAGTTAGACTGTTTATAATGGGAACTATGATATAACAGATTGTATATGTCTGAGCTTCAGGACACTTGTCATTATTTAGGAGACAGTGACCTTTGAGGATGTAGCTGTGAACTTCACCCGAGGAGAGTGGGATTTACTAACCCCATCCCAAAAGAAGCTATACAAAAGTGTGATGTGGGAAAATTATATGAATATTACTGAAACAGGTAAGGATGATATATTTTATTTATTTATACCAAAAGCATTAACTATTGCTCAGTGATATAGTTTAATATATTTGATAATTATAACATTTGATTGCATAACTCAGGCATGATTATATTATATTATATGATGAGTATAACTGAAATCAGTGATGTTTTAATGTAATGTTGTAGTGAAATTTTTTTTATTTCTCTTTCTGTAACACAGGAAAAATATGGAATAATCAGCAAATTAAAGAAGAGGACAAAAATTGCTTAAGAAATCTAAGGTGATTAACACACATGAGAGGAAAGGAAAATCTCTTAAGTATCACTTTATGAGTATAAATATTACAAAAAATAACTTAAAGGAATGAGATCATATTGCACTTTATTTAAACTGAGAAAAATATAAAAAGATATACTTGACTTTATATTATCTGAGAACCCAAAGAAAAGTGTCTGAATGTAGGACTTAGGTAGTGTTCATTCTATGTGAAAAATGACACTATCTTAAAAATTGCCTCTAAGATCAACATCATGGAAATATATGGGAGTAAACTAAATACTATATTCAGATAGGTATGAAATGAACTAATTGTGAATTTTGAAAGAAACTGATCTTTAAAATATCCATTTATGTATATATGTGAAAACTAAGTTTCATGATTAAAAACTTTTTCACATAGAATCAATATTCAAAATGCAAATAAATGATACTCATAATAAGTACTATGAAATATCCTCTAGAATGTTGGGCTGTATGTTTAAAATTCCTCATGCATTGTTGATAGATACATCAAATAGAAACATGGTATTTAATATTCAGAGGTCTGAAAAGTAAAATATGTTTCACATTGTTCCACATATACCTCCATCATTATATTCTTCTGCTTTTTTTTTTTTTACTTTGAACCATCATTTTATATTATAGTTTAGATTGACTCTGAACTTACTGTGTAGCCTATACTGGCCTAAAACTCTGAGAAATCCTCCTGCCTGCACCTTCTGACTGTGGATAACATTGTACTGTTTCATTATGTGCAATGACTCAGTGTATTGTGAAATACATCAAAACCATCAAGTGTTAGTGATTCACACAGTGCATTGTTCAATGTTGCATTTACAATATCTAATACAAGTATTGACTCACAGTAGCTAAGCTGTGGGAAGAGCCCAGATTTCCATCACTGGATGCCTGGGTAAATAATATGTGGAGTCAGCTCATTATGGCATGTGTATATTTGCAATCCAAGCACTCTAGAGGATGAATCATCAGGGTGACAATTGTAAATTTAGCCTGAGCAAATTCATTGTCAATATGAATCTCAAAAAACAAATAATAGATCAGCAAATGTAATTCAGTCAAAGACCTGGGATTAATTCTCTGTACTAAAAAAATACTATACTAGGAATCATGCTATCATTTTCCAAGAAGCAAAATGAGTTGGATATTAAGTGAAATAAATTAGACACAAAATTGGAAAAATCACATGTTTTCTCTTAAATGGCAAATTAAAAGCACATGTGAGATGTAAAAGAGATAACATGAAACCAGAAACTCTTACTTTCTGAAGATGAGAAAGATGATCAGAATAAACAAGAAGAACAAAGACCTGATGTGATGAAACAATGATCAATATTTCATAGTCATTTGTACCAATCTCCTAAAATGATATTATCTAATGGAATCATATACCAATTGAAAATTTCCACATGAAAACCATCCTATTTAGAATAAATAGTACTTTGAAAGATGTCTAGCAGACCAATAAGTCAATTAACCATGAAAATTGCTTAGCAGGCAACAAACCAAACATGTCATGGTAAATCTCAATTGTTAATGTGGAACCCTTTTCATTGTGATTGATATCTTGCTTGTATTTCCTTACAGATATGATGAAGACAATTACTTGAGAATGGAAATGCAACAATATAAGTATAATGAAGATGTAGATACCTTCAGTGATTTCCAGGCATTTCAAATGCATGAAATGAATAAGACTGGAGAGAGCCTCTGTCAATATGGAGAATGTGTCAAGGACAGTTTTGATCTTAGGGAACAAACTCACCCTGGGCAAGAAAACATTGTCGGTAAGAAATATGTGAAAGCCTACACAATACCTGTAAGTGTTCAAATCCATGAAAGAAATCACATTTCAAGGAGCTTACATGTGCACAAACACTGTGAGAATAGTTCTATTTCTTTATACCATGTTGAAAAAGATGTTAGTAAATATGGTGGAGAGAAATACCATGTTACTGAGAAATGTGCGAAAGCATTGTCTTGTAGTAACTCCTTTAAAAAACATGTAAAACTTCACATTAGAAAGCAACAATATGAATGCAAGGTATGTGGGAAAACATTCAGCACACACAGTAACTGTCAAAGACACAAAAGGATTCACACTGGGGAGAAACCATATGTATGCAACCAATGTGGGAAAGCATTCATAAGTGCCTCAAAACATAAAATGCATGAAAGAACTCACACTGGTGAGAAATCATTTCTGTGTAAGCAATGTGGGAAATGTTTCACTCAAAATTCTTCCCTTATTGTTCATGAAAGAATTCATACTGGGGAGAAACCCTATGTATGCAACCAATGTGAGAAAGCATTCATGAGAGCCTCAGAACGTATTATACATGAAAGAACTCACACTGGTGAGAAACCATTTGTGTGTAAGCAATGTGGGAAATCTTTCAATCGAAATTCTTCCCTTATTGTTCATGAAAGAATTCATACTGGGGAGAAACCCTATGTATGCACCAAATGTGGGAAAGCATTCATGAGAGCCTCAGAACGTAATATACATGAAATAACTCACACTGGTGCGAAACGATTTGTGTGTAAGCAATGTGGGAAATCTTTCAATCAAAATTCTTCCCTTATTTATCATGAAAGAGCTCACACTGGGGAGAAACCCTATGTATGTAACAAATGTGGAAAAACATTCATGACAGCTGTAGACCGTAAAAAGCATGAAACAACTCACACTGGTGAGAAACCATTTGTGTGTAAGCATTGTGGGAAATCTTTCATTCAATCTTCTTCCCTTATTTATCATGAAAGAATTCATAGTGGGGAGAAACCATTCGTGTGTAAGCAATGTGGGAAATCTTTCAATCGAAATTATTCCCTTATTAATCATGAAAGAATTCATTCCGGGGACAAACCCTATGTATGCAAAAAATGTGGTAAAGCATTCATGATAGCCTCAGAATATATTATACATGAAAGAACTCACACTGGTGAGAAACCATTTGTATGTAAGCAGTGTGGGAAATCTTTCAATCGAAATTCTTCCCTCATTTATCATGAAAAAATTCATTCTGATGAGAAACCCTATGTATGCAATCAATGTGGGAAAGCATTCTTGAGAGCCTCACAACGTAATATACATGAAAGAACTCACACAGGTGAGAAACCTTTTGTGTGTAAGCAATGTGGGAAATCTTTCAATCAAAATTCTTCCCTTATTGATCATAAAAGAATTCATACTGGGGAGAAACCATTTGTGTGTAAGCAATGTGGGAAATGTTTCACTCAAAATTCTTCCCTTATTGTTCATGAAAGAATTCATACTAGGGAGAAACCCTATGTATGCAACCATTGTGAGAAAGCATTCATGAGAGCTGTAGACCGTAAAAAGCATGAAACAACTCACACTGGTGAGAAACCATTTGTGTGTAAGCAATGTGGGAAATCTTTCATTCAATCTTCTTCCCTTATTTATCATGAAAGAATTCATACTGGGGAGAAACCATTTGTGTGTAAGCAATGTGGGAAATCTTTCAATCGAAATTATTCCCTTATTAATCATGAAAGAAGTCATTCCGGGGACAAACCCTATGTATGCAAAAAATGTGGTAAAGCATTCATGATAGCCTCAGAATATATTATACACGAAAGAACTCACACTGGTGAGAAACCATTTGTATGTAAGCAGTGTGGGAAATCTTTCAATCGAAATTCTTCCCTCATTAATCATGAAAAAATTCATTCTGATGAGAAACCCTATGTATGCAACCAATGTGGGAAAGCATTCTTGAGAGCCTCACAACGTAATATACATGAAAGAACTCACACTGGTGAGAAACCATTTGTGTGTAAGCAATGTGGGAAATCTTTCAATCAAAGTTCTTCCCTCATTAATCATGAAAAAATTCATATTGGGGAGAAACCCTATGTATGCAACCAATGTGAGAAAGCATTCACAAGAGCTGGAGACTGTAAAAAGCATGAAAGAACTCACACTGGTGAGAAACCATTTGTGTGCAAGCGATGTGGGAAATCTTTCAATCAAAATTCTTCCCTCATTAATCATGAAAAAATTCATTCTGGTGAGAACCACTATGTATGCAATCAATGTGGAAAAGCATTCCTGAGAGCTTCAGAACATAAAATACATGAAAGAACTCACAGTGATGAGAATCCATTTGTGTGCTAGCAATGTGGGCAATATTTCAATCAAAATTTTTCCCTTATTCACCATGAAATAATTGATACAGGGGAGAATCCCTATGCATGCAACAAATGTGTGAAATCTTTCATGAGAGCCTCTGGCTGTAAAAAGCCTGAAAGAACTCACACTGGTGAGAAATCATTTGTGTATAAGCAATGTGGGAAATCTTTTAATTGAAATTCTTCCCTTATTAATCGTGAAAGAATTCATACTGGGGAGAAACCCTATGTATGCAACAAATGTGTGAAATCATTCATGAGAGCCTCTGACTGTAAAAAGCCTGAAATAACTCACACTGCTGAGAAACCATTTGTGTGTAAGTAATGTGGGAAAACTTTCAATCAAAATTCTTCCCTTATTGATCATGAAAGAATGCATAATGGGGAGATACCATACGTATGCAAACCATTGAGAATCTTTCACTCAAAATTGTAGCCTTATTACACTTGAAACCATACGTATGCAAACAATTGAAAATTTTTCACTCAAAATTGTAGCCTTATTACACATGAAAGAATTCACACTAGGGAAAAACCCTGTATACATATGTATACATGTAGGAAATCACTGATGAGTGCCTATCAATGTAAAGTACATGATAGAGTTCACACTGGGGAGAAATTTTTTTAATGTAAGCATTGTAAGAAATCTTTCTGTCAAAGCATTAACCTTATTAGACAGTAAAGAATTTACAACAGGTAGAACCTCTATACAAACAATGTGACAAACATCAGTATGCAGATGTACTGAAAATAAATACTATCCATCTATGTAAGCAATTTGGCATGTCTTTCACTTATAGAAATAGCTTTTGTGTCTATAAAATAATTCATTCTGCAGAAAAATTCTATCTATATGAGAAACATTTAAATGAATTTTTTGATAAATTCTTACTTTTTAAACATAAAAGGTCCCACATTGGGAAGAAACCCTGTGAATATAAGGAATGTACGAAAACTTTCCACAACCAATAAGATTTTCACTACATGAAATAACTCTCTCTGTGTAGTAATTCTTTACATTTAAACAATGGTGGGTATCATTTCATCAGTACACAAAACTGCCATCAAATAAATAATTATGCATGCAAAGAAGAAACCCTGTGTATGTAGGCAGCGTGGAAACAATTTTTGTAATGTTTTTCTTTTGCAAACATAAGATTTCCATCATACTAGGGTAAAGCTGCATGTAAGAAATATTTGGTAAATGTTCCATTGATAGAGCTGCTAACTTTCTGAGTGATGTCATATTATGTCCTGAGCCTATCTTTGCAATGTGAGCAAGTATTAGGTATACACAGTTATTATCAAATGTCCAAAAATAGTCATAGTTAAGTGAAATCATACATATCACATGAGACTACTTGGAAAATACTTTGAAAATTACTCAAGTGGAGGAGACTGTAAAAATAATATAAAATTATTGCTTTCAATGTATGTTCATAGATTTTTCTGAAAACACCCTCAAACAGAAGTGTTCTAAAATGTTTTCATTTCTTTTTTTTATAAATCATACATAAATATTTGTCTGTAGGTTTAATAAAAATTAGTTTTTAAAGAAAAATTAAGGATGCTGAATCTTTTTTCTCATGTTTTTAATCCACCAATATCTTGTCTTGATGGATTACCCCCACTATTTCATGACCATTTTTTTCCCAGCAGAATCTGTAACTCCTTTATCAGTTTTTGAGGAGGATCTACACATACAAAATCAGAAGTGTGCTTGTATTCGTGGTCTGTATCTATATACCCATGCTCATGGTAAGACACACTATCACAAATGCAAAAAGCAGAATCAGTCACAGACAGAAACAAGAATGAACTTAAATTAGGGAGAAATCTTATTTATGCAACAAATGTGGAAAAATGTTCAGTACACAAACAGGTTATAAAATATATGATAGAACTCATACTAGGGAGAAACTCTATGTAGGTGAACAGTGTTCATAAACTTTCTGTTAATGTTTTAAACTGTCCATGATATAATTCACACTTAGCAGTAGCTTTATGTAAGACATTAAAATGGCTTTGCTGATAACCCACATTTTCTGGAAAAAAAATCCCACACTGGGAGAAACCTATGTATTTAATCAATGTGGGAAATCTACCAGCCAAACCCATAGCTTCTAAATACATCCAACAATTCACAGTGGGAAGAAACTTTATGTAGATAAGCAATTTGAGAAAGCATTCAGTTCACAAAGTCACTGACAAATATATGAAAGAACCCAAAATAGGGATTATCTGTATGAATGTAGGCAATGCAGCATGTTTCCAACACCAGTGATTCTAATGACATTAAAGAATTCACCACAGAAGTTATTCTATGCATGCCAACAATAGAGAAAAGCATTCAGGACAAAATAATGCCAATCAAAGAAGGAAATAATGCACACAAGGGAGAATCCCTATATAAGTAGTCAATATGAGAAGGATTTCTTGCAAATTTTTCATTTTATAAATACTAAATATTCCACATACTGGTGAGTAACTGTGTGTAAAAGATGTATTGAGGAAAGGTTTCCATCAACAAAATGCTAACTTCCTAAATGATATCACATTATGCCAAAGCCTATATATACAACGTGAGAAAACAGTGTATGTGAGTATGGTCAAGTATTTGGAAGTCAGCACAATGAATCAAAGTGGTACATATGTAAGTTACTATTATGAAAATACTTTGCAAATTACTCATGTAGTCAAGACCAGTAGAAATACCATAAAAATTGATCCCAATATATATTCAGAGATTTTCCAGAGATCACACTTAAAGGTTATGCCATGCCAAAGCATATTCATTTTGTGTTTTGGTGTCACACACAATTAGCTGATATATTTGTCTGTAGTCTATTGTTAGAAAGTCACACTTTTTAAAGTTACGTAAAGGATTCTGATGAATTTTCCCCACATTATTGATTCACCAATACCATCTTCATAGATGATACCTATTTTTCTCACAAACATTTTTTTTCATTTGTATCTGTCCTAATTGTTTTTTCTACAATGATCTACACAAACACATTCAGAAGTGTTATTCACCAGGTTGTATGACATGCATCTGTGTATGTCTGCTTGTGATAAGATAGTCACAAAAACCAAAGAAAACTTAAAATATGTATAATTGCATTAATGCCTGTTTCTTGTACATGATGTAAGTGTTCATCTTTGAAAGGCATCAGTGTGTATAACAGGTCTGAGTTCTTTATTATTGCCTTAACATCCCCTATTTACTTTTTCCCTCTATTTCTTGCTCTTCTCCATTTATGAATGATGTATGCTCCTTCTGTTTATTACACATAACATAATTTTACACAAATTTAAATGTCATCCCTCTTAAATTAACTTGGTAATTTGTAAATAGCAGAATCTTGAATGTTCAAGTGAATCAGGATCTCACACAGGATCCTAGGGTTCAAAAGTAAATGCATGGAATGTGATTCCTGGAATAGGAATAGTGAGTGACAGAAATGATGTCATGTCATGACAGCAGAAAGAGTCACCAGTGTGCAATAAATAAGGTGATAATTACAAGTGTGTGAATTGAATTCATGAGAATTATAGCAGTTAAGAGATTGCCAGTCTTGAATTTTTGACAAAGGTGACTCCCAAGCCAAGCATGATGGCTGATGCCTGTCTTCACAGCAGTCAGGATATGATCTCTGTGAGTTAAAGGCCAGACTGGGCTACATAGGGACCAAAGCAGCCTGAACTATGTAGTGAAACTGTGTCTCAAAAAATAGTGTGACTTAATGATGAAGAAAACAAAATTAGACACAGAAGGACAGATACTTCAGGTGGTCTCTTCTACTTGGAAGATAAAGTAGCTGATCTCACAGAAAAATGGAAATAAATTATTGACACAGAATGTATGGGGCCAATACAGAATTTGGGGATTGACCCACAAGGCACATAATCACAAAGGATTTTCTTTCACACAGAAAATTGGTGATAGGTCATAATATTGGGTTATATAATCCCAAATAGGTGGAGGAAAGGGCTAGTGACATTCTCATAAAACAGAAAGGGTTATTGCTTGAAAGGATGGATAATGTAAACATCCTGTGTTCATCAATACACAGATCACAAATGTATCAAAATATCACCAAGAGACTCATGAAGACATACAGTCATTTTAGCTTGTTTAAAAATGAAATTTAGGGCAATTTAGCTTCTCTATGCCTTCTCTCTCACCTAGAATTTTTTTCTTTCCTTTCCATAAATGGTTCCCTTTTCTTAACCTCTGTTCATCCTAGTACTCATTTCTCAAATTTGTAGAACTTTCAGTTACAGACATCTAGCAGGTTGAGTTATATTCTATTTATATTATTTGGAAGTCCAATATCATAAGGACTATATCATTTGGAGGTCTTCCTCATAGATAAGTGCAAGTAGGTAAGAGTTTGTTTCTGTTTCATAGATTCTGGATTATGATGCATGCGAGTAATCAAAAATTTTTATTCTTCAATTATTTTTGTAATATCTTATAAGTAAATGCTCATATAATTTTATGTAATATCTTGGAAATAAATGCTTTTATAATTTTGTTAAAATGATGATCAATTTAAATCGAAAACTGTGGAATGTTATGCTGCTTCTTAAATGGGACATTTTATTCCTGTTCTGCTTTGTAGCATTTGGACTTAGGTAATAAATTTTCTAGTGTTCCTTGTTTGACCTGATTGCTATGGTTTGATATCCTATCAGCTCTACAGAAAGATAATATTTAGAGTTTTCCCTAGTATATTTTGATATGAAATTCTATAAATAGGTATTTTTCCAGTATCTGGTTCACTGTTAGAAAATATACATATTGATTAATAAATAATGAGACACTAAATGCCAACTAAAATTCAATAGGTTGGCAAACAGTAATATTGGGGCACAGATTTCATTGAGACAGACTGACTATCATCATATTCTGCTTGCTAGTGGACATGTCATATGTTCTTCATCAGTTCCCTTTCTTATCTGATCTACTATGTGAAAGCAATCTACCTCATGAAATTCTCCATCCTCACTTTCCAGAATGAGAACAATGACTCATAGCACATTTGTCTAAATAATTTTCTGTGATCATAAAAAAAGTGTTGTTGCTTGGCATAACTGCCACCTTCTTGAGCCTTGTATTCAACTTTTGTTCTGTATTTGTCTCAGAAGAAAGGAAAATTCCTTAGAGTACAATCCCATGAGAAAGAACAATGAGCTGTAACCACAAGAGAAAAATCAGTCTGTTCAATAAAGAAGAAAGATGTAGGTGTCAACCAAAAATTAATGTAAGATTCTAGATAAATTCTTTCAACAGGATGTGTTTTTGTAGTTCTCTGTTTTAAAAGCTTTGTAACTTTCCAGTTCAGGGCCACTCTGAGAGATTCTGAAATGGGTCCAGGTGAGTGATCACTGAGCTCTGTTATTTAAACTCAAAATCAATTTGGCTTATCGGATTCCTATATTATTATTGAACACACTTCAAAAATCCTTCCTTCATCTCATAGTGTTTCTAATAATTTTTGCGATTTCATGCATTCCTTTTTGTTGTAGCCATGTGAGATTAGAGAAAAAGCTTCTTAGTCCTCACAACAACTAAGGTAGGCACATAAAAAATGATCACTTGCTAACACCAAGATAGGGAACTCATCTTAGATGAGGTATCCATATATTATGTATCGGTCAGATGAGACATCAAAAGTTTTCCTTTCTAGAAAAACACCCATAAAAGCTTTTCTTGATTGTCCAATGAAATTTTGATGAGACAGGCAACTGGATTCCTTTCTGGAGACAGATATCTCATTGTGCTGGGTCATGTAACTGAGCTGACATGATCATGGCTGCTCTCTGGAAGATACATAAAGGTTCCTCAGGAGAAATTGGCTCTCAGTTACAGAAAAGTTTCCACTTATCTATTGTACATGTATCTCTTTACTATTCCGTTGGAAACTCCACATTTTTTCAAAATTCTTGGGAATTAACTTTAAATCCACCTTGTCATTAGGCTGCCAATCTTCCCAACATTAGGCCTACTTCTTTGAACAATGTTTTGGCTTTTCTAGAGGCAAAGCTATCAGGGAGTTACCAAGGAAATGATTTATATATGTGCTTCACATAAGCTGATTAAAAGTAAGAAAAAGAATTTAGTCAGTGTTTTAGCTTACATGTGCACAAAGAAGACAAATAAATATGCCTTTATTCACATGTAAATTTTGATTATTATATAACAAATATAAATTTAACCTGTGAGCTTCAGAGACATATACATTTTATAATGGACTTAAAATGTGTAGCCTTGTCTTACTGGTACAAAACATTGCTTACATGATTAGGCAAATAACAGAAATGTCTTAGAGATTTTTTCATCCTAAACCCCAGAGTAGGATTTTTCTCCAAACCATTTTCATCTTTTGTCTCTAGAAATGACATTATTTGTATGCTGTGTATTGTTCAATTGTTTTCAACTCATTTTTTTAAAATTTGGCCATCTTTCTAAGAACTAGCAAGAATTAGTTTAATGCTAAGCAATGATTTTCTTCTTTATACAAGTTGTTATGTCTGAGATAATTATAACTTACC